CACTTCTTGAGTCAAGTGAAACGGATGATCTGAAATATTGCTTCACATGTTCATGGTATGTTTGTGAGCATTTTTCGAGGGAATTATAATTCTTCTTTAATATCGTAAATTCTCTGATTATAATAATTAACCGTTATGCTGAATTTTGTATACATGTAATTTTTTTGTGAAAAGTAAATTACAAAATTTTGAAAGTGGTTAAAAATTGATAGACATTAGGTGACTGTACAACCTCTAAACATAGAATTTAGTGGCATAGACAAAACCAAACCCATTTGATTGGATCTGCATGAATAGAGGAAAGAGAAATAAAACAACTGGACGAAACTTGGCTTTTCATGTCCTAAAACTGCCAAGATACCATTCAAAGCTGCATCAACACATCTTTTAATAAAAAAAAACTTTGCACTTATTGAAAGTTGTAACTTTTGACCAAAATTCATCGATTGATGTTTGGTTCATTTTTTGGAATTTCTCATCCAATTGACCTCGCGGCCTTTGAGCTTATCTGGCAGAATGTTTTTGAATTCACACAACCTCGTATGACTGGAAACTGAACCCAGCATACTGTCTCAGAAACAATGAAAATTTCATTCTTGGTCTATCCATATGAATCTTCGAGCAAAAAAACTTGCCCATTAAAACCCCAGAATCTTCAAAAAAAAGTGCAAAAGTAGTTTTGATCTTTTCAACAAAAGCTTGGATGCACTATGCATTTTACACTTGGTATCTAGCTAAAATGACAAAAGAGTGCGCTCAACAAATTCGCACTTAATTTTTAGCGTAAGTTTCCCTCTAATCGCCCAGCCTTTAAAGTCTCATCGGATTTGTCAATTCGATTTCCTATAACAGCATTGGCGGATCCAACAAATTGGCAACATCATTTTTTCTCCGTTTAAACCCATGGAAATATATCGATTCTTGGAGGTGGAGGCTGGAGGGGCTAGATCCTCCGACAAGAATCGATTATTGATCATAGGTTTAAATGAAGGTTGTCCGGCGTTGCCAAATTATACCGTATCCGCTTTTGCCTCTCAGTTTTCTTTCTCTCACGATTGAAATCTTCCGCTTTAATGATTTTATCATTCCTCAGTGAGAATGGCGCTAGGAGTGCAAATGATAAGGGTGGCCTGGGAGTCGCTAGTCGGGCCCGCCACTAACGCCGGATCGCGACCACCCTCGGTTCAGATCAGACCACCAGCATCCAACATCGGCGCAACAACAATCATCAGCTTCTCGCTAATCATGATGAATGGTGAGCATTGGTGGATGAGGGAGAGAGGGGAGAGGGCAAGCAAGTGCGGCGCACAGTCGAGTTGACCAGAAAACGCCATATTTTTGCTCCTTTTCTTCTGTGTCACCCTTCGGAGATCTCCAGTTCTTTTTTATGATTAGAAGCTGCGACTAAATGCTTCTTCCGGGGGATTATTTTGAAGCCCGTATGTGAATAGCCTTGTGCGGTGGTGCGACTGTTAGCTTTGAATTTCCTTTTGACTTCATCTTACTACCCTGATGTTGCAACGATACTTTAACCGGAAACCTATTTCGACTACATTGTCCCTCGAGGATGGCGATGATAATTAAAATATCTGATGATCTTTAATGAGAATGAGATTCAAGGCAGAAACGGCATAAGTGTAGCTATTCTATACTCATTGAAGAATCCGAATGGTGCCAACTTTTTCAAGAGTTCAAGCTGATTAACTTTTAAGGAACGAGAGGATGCCTTTTTCCTAATAGATCTGGCAGGATCCCAAATGACTTGTTTCCTGCCTTCTTTAATCATTTTATCTACTTCCTCTCTTTCCATTTAATCGAGTTACTCATTTCGAGTGAAGCGTCAAAGTCTGAACGAATGATGACTCCCATTGTTAGAACAGTGTAGCCAAGTGACTTAAAATGACCGTAAGTCACAATTTCCAAAGTTTCCGTTGAAAATTTTTCAAAGTAGACTCCGTCTTGCCCATAGCATAATTTTTGTAAACTTTGAGCGATGTTTTCAGCGATCTACTGAGCAAATGAGATCCAATTTGATAGAATTGCAATCAAATGCATGCTCTTCGTGAAGTTCACGGATATTGGGCAAAAACATTGGCCAGTTCGCGGACTGGGCTATGGTGATGGCTAGTTCGCGGACGCCCCGGGAAAAAATTCGCTCATTTCGCGGTCTGGGCAATGTCGCTAATGGAGCGTAACGCTTACATACCAGAGGAAATGATCGTCCCTTTGTATTTGTTTAAAAAAAAAAAGAAAGAAACGATCCTATCTTATTTACAGTGTCACCAATGTGTCATTGCATGTTTAGTCCACAAATTGTGTTTTCTTATCGCGTTTCACACTCCACAGAAATCTCCGGCTCCAGATGCCGTAAAAACAGGCTGGGTATGTAGCACTACCGTGCGTTGCGGGTGAGAAGACCGTAAGTCCCGCATTCAGGAGGCGTTAAGGAGCACTGGCCTCTGAGCTCTTCTTACTACAGGTCTAGAGACCGTTGCTTCGGATCCTGATTGCAGGACTTACGGTTCCCTCACCCGCAACGCACGGTAGTGCTGTACAGCCCGTAATTACGGCTCCTGGAGCTGAACTTTTGTCAGTGAATTTTTATACGTAGCAATTTTTTAAAAAATTCGGCTCAATGAAACATACGTGCTTTGCGTTACTGGAAGCATCATTTTGGTTGGAGTTTCGAGTTTGAAAGTTGGGAGGAAGGATTTTTAGCAAGAAGCGCGTTTGGGTGGCAAAGGAAAGAGCGGCTCGGGTACTTACGGGACACTCGGCGGTGCAATGTACCACATTAGTCAAATTGTAGGTATTAGTGAGGGCAGAGGCGCTTAATGTAACTCTGACTAGGTGTGTGGTCTTTTCGGACGACGCCGTTGCCGTTGCCCGGCGCGGCTCAGCGTTGGTGCTCGTTGCAATACGGCGATCGCCCTATTTATTTGCCGTAATGATCGCCCTCCGCCCGCTCCGCGCCCTCCTTGCCAAGTTTCCTAACCTCTAAACTTCTTCTCCTCCTTGGTTTTTTTTATTTTTGTATTTCTTTATTTTTTTTTTGGGGGGGGGGCTTTTACTTTAGTGGAGGAGACTACAGCCATAACCTCTGAACTCAGCTGCTCACACGATAGTCTTCAGGATTATTTCAAGAATCCCATCGATTAAATCGTGACAAAAGAAATCGATTTTCCGGAAAAACGACTTAAAAAAATCGGAAATCACGACGGCTCAAGATTCAAACTCTTTGAAAGAATCGAATGAGAATTTTCAGGATGTTTGCTAAAATTTTGGTTCAAAAGCTCACGTGCCGATTTAAAACATTCGAGTAGCCAAAATCGGAATTTTCGACTGTGAGAAAAAATCGATCTACGCTATTAATCGAACCGAATAAAATCGTCGCGATTTACTCAATTTGTACTGGAAAAATCGACTTTTCGAGAAAATTGAATTAGAATCCCCAACGCTAAATTACGAATGAATTCATCGTAACATCAAAGACAATATATTTTAGAAACCTCGCACTGCTATCTTCCTTACAGCGTGAAAATTACTCCAAGGGAGTCAACGCTTCGATTTGCATGATGATTGCTATCAAATCTCCTGCAGCAGATAAGTGAATTATTGATGTCTTCAGCCTTTAAACTAGTTCCAAAATATCAACTCTCCTTTCTCGCTGAGTAACATTAATTTCCAGGGAAGTAGCACCCATGCAGCTTGAAAGTACATCCTATAAGGTTTACTTTCATACCCCAGGCTTAGCTCTTAGGTACCTGGTAATACTTTTTGCGGTCGTGTTCCTAAGAGTAGCCTTGCATTGTACTTTGAAAAGAACACAGAGTAAATGGACCTTCAGCCCTTCATTTTACTCTTAAGATGAGTTGTTTTTTTTTTTAAAAATTTTCTATGGATTTTTTACGAAACTTAATGATTTTACGAATTGGTTGAGATGTAAGTTTATTACAGTGTCATACGTGTTTTTAGTGCTTACTAAAACATTATAAAAAGTAATCATGTGCTGAAGATGTACAAATGATTCTCATATCACCGTGAAAGCTTCTCTTAGAGTGACATAGTAATTGGATGTATACCTTGCTAGGTAAAAAACTCGCGTGCTGTCTACGAAATTATTGTAGCATTAAAATAGAGACCGCAAAAACGAGGTCGGTATCCCGAATATGGATTTAATGTTATTTTTACATTGAGTCAAAGGAGAGTCTTTAATCTCTTTTACTTTTCAGCTTTAACTCAATGGAACTCCCATTTCTGATTCCAGTTCAAGAATTTCTAATATTAGTATCTTGCTCTCTCGGTGAAAAATTAAAATTTCTGAAATAACTGTGGCATGGCAACACGGGAATGGCCCAGCTTTGGCCTCCAAAGCTCGTTCCTCCTTTTCTTCTCAGGAACCCCCTCACCCCTCTTCTCCGTGGCGCTTCGCTTCCCCATTTGCCTGCACGAGTGATTTCGCGTTTTCCACGCGTTTGAACGCGAAGAAAGCTGCCCCCTCCGCTGTGGTGTTCGCTGTTTGTGCGGCTTGTGCTTTTCTCCAGGCCCGCAGCGCTCGTAATGTCTTCATCTCGATAATTATTGTTTCGCGCCTTCCGCATCTTTTTATTCTACTTCTTCGTTTCTTTTTCCAAACTCCTACTTTCCGTGCGCCCGGCTCCCGTCTTCTTTCTCTCGAGCCCAAGTCCAGTTAGTTATAGGCATTAATGTAACCCAGATTAGAGGGCACCAATTTCAGATGTTGTTTCATGATTTGTGTCTCTGTTTGTGGTTTGTGAGAATCTCGCATCTTCCCTGTCATGAAATNGGGGGGGGGGGGGGGGGAGAAGATGTTTTACTTTATTCGCCGACTCAGGAGAGTTCAGTTGCCTCGCAAACTTATAATTCATCATCCTCAAAGGCGTTGAGAATTTTTGCGCTTCGATTCGAATATCGGCGCGGATTAGTTTACTAATACGGTTTACATAAGATTGTGTAAAAGAAATTTAGCATTGACTTACCAAGAATTCCATCTATAGAGTGGTTTTTTCTTAGGTCACCATCTTCTTTCCTGCTACCACTTCGGATAAGCCTGCTAATGGAGCTTACCGAAGGTGCTGTTGTTTTGTCGCAAACTCCATCCTGCTGGGAGCAAAAAAATAAACAACCTTAAACGAGGGTCCTTCATAATTATGCTGGATTAAATAAAATATATGTATACAATCCTCGAAATGTATGGCCCATAACGTGCGCCTGGAGTAAAGCTAAATATTAATACATATATTTAATGAAAGAGCAACTAAGAGGGTTTCCCATGTAGCACGTTTTGCAGAAAAGTCGTTCATGTCTTTAAAAGGCCAAATTCAACAGTCTATGCGCTACTAGGGATTTTTGTGAGCGAAAAGTCACGCCTGCGTTTCTTCGCGGAAAAGAATAGGATAGTCGTCACAACAAGTTTTCAAAGTTATGTTTAATCTCGGATGAAGGCAGAGTTCAAATTTGGGTTCAAGCGCATTTACCGTTTACCAATAAACGGCCATAGGAACGTGAGAGCTCGCCTTACGTTGTTTTCAAGAAACAGTTTTTGTATTTATTTCCCGTCCGAGAAGAGGATGAAGAAAAGAAATTCGTAGTTTCATCGCACTGTGATACGTAAAATTTCCATGAACAAGCATGTGTCATTATCATCTTTCAGCGCTAAGGCTTTTGCGTAAGTTTGGAGACTTAAACGCATGAGTAGAAGAGTTCTACTCATGATTATAAACAAGAACATAAAAACATCTTGACCGGTAGTTACACCACAGCACGAACCTACTAAGGAATTTTTCTTATCTATTCAATCTCCCTCTTCTTTCAACCCTCGCCCCGCGCGGGAAACACTCCTCTCCCCGTCCCCTATTTGTTGTCCCGAGAAGTACGGTGCAACTAAAATATTAAAATAATTTCGAATTCAATTTCTTCCATATTTTGTTTTTTTCTATGGTAAATCATTTCAATTCTCCTAAAGGATTTATTTTCTCGGTTATGCGGTTGAATTTTACTCGGATTCTTAAAAATTGTCCCTACTAACAAAAAGTAAAATACGTCCGGAAATCTGAAGCGTTGTAAAGCAAGATACACGTCCCTATGCAGTCTCACTGTCAATGCAGGGTGACATGAAACGTAAGAAATAAATGAAAGATTGGAAATTTCAGTGTAATATTTCATGAAATTTTACGAGACTCTGAAATATGTCATATTTTTCAGGAGCTACAGTATGCGACCCGCACTCAAACACACAGAAATAGAAGAAAGTCACAATTTTTACATTTTACGAAACATGGAAAGGAATCTGTATGTTTCCATATCTTTCATACATTTCTGAGATTTCATGAAAAATTTCACGAGCAATTTCAAGATTTTATTTTTCATGAAATTTTGCAACCCTGTGTCAATGTGCGGTTTTCTGGCATAATAAATTGATCAAGGATTTGCAGGAACACATACGCACATTTATAAGTTTTTCCCGGATCTCCCAGCTGTAAAGTCCCGGGTTCTGCTTTTTGTATTCCTCGATCCTCTTCTCGACGTCGGGGGTGGCGACCCGGGGTTTGCTGCCCCCGATGACCCCTGGGCGGATGCTCCCCGTTTCTTGGTACCTGTTGAGGATCTTGGAGACGCAGCCGTGGGAGACGCGCAGTTGCCGCGAGATCACGCACGGGCGGACCCCCTCGCCGGCCATCGCCACGATCTTGAGTCGCATGTGGTACGGCAGCGGTCGCCCGTTTATGAAAATCCCTCCCAGCTGGTTCACCCGGCCTTGCCCTAAAACAAAAAGAAAACAAACATTTCAATCGAGGCCGTCAATATTCTCACTTTAACGAAACAACAGAAAAACAAGCGGGAAAGCTTTAATACTAGGTATTCTACCGTGCTAAGGAAAAACGCCGTATGAGCCTTCAGGCGTTGCCAAATTTCTCCTGGCAAATCACTAATTTTGAGGTAAATTGTTGAATTTTCGTCTAGCAGTTTCTCAGATAATTTTGCTAATTTGATCTGAAACTTCTGAAAATTTCAAAGAATTAAAATATTCATAATTTTCCTCCAAAATAAACATTTTATCGAAGGAAATTTGGCAACACTCGCATGTTCATACGGCGTTCTTCCTTAGCACGGCAGTATTCGAGAAGGGCTTAGCAAGTACGATACACAAAGCACAAGGGCAGGATTGAAAGAAAAAGACGCGGCTCAAAAGCTGCATTTCCAAGGTAACGATGACGCAGCAGCTGTGTCATAAGGAGGCGAATTTTGACAGGTTCAGAAAAAGTCATTGGTGGAAAAAAGTTCGGATGAAAAGAACTCGATTCCTAAACCTTTAGACATCATAATAAAAGAACTGTAAAATTCCCAGAAAAGAAAATTTTGGGAATGTTATTTATTTCATCCGCTACTTATATTTAATAACGTTAAAGGGGGTATTATTAGCTAGTAAAAAGAAAATTCTGAGAATCTCATCGGCCATGTTTTGTTGAGTCGCCGTGTTTGCATTTTTTGAGTGGCAACACAAACAAAATGGCAACCCTGTTAATGAATTTGCTCTCTATCGTCCCATTTCATCCCTATCCTTTGCATGGAGAGTATGACTACTGGATAAAAAAAGAAGTGGACTCTCAGGATAGCGTCAAATTTGAAAGCTTTTCTCAGTTTGTTTCAGAGGAAACCAGTGGCACCTGGCACAATCTTGTTGTTCGCGAAATTTTTCATAAGAATTAGTACTTAAATCGCAAATCCCTAGGCTGACACATGCGAGAGCTTTTTTGCTAAACACATTTTAATCACCAATTATCATTTTGCGAATCTGAGCGTTGACTTTCCAAAATTACTTGTACTGTAGGTACATACTGGGGAGATAGCAGAGTCTCTGGATTGTGTTCTGCTCCTTTGGAAACATGCACGACCACTTATTAGCAGTGAATGAGAGACCCAGTGAGTTACTGGTAATTACAATGATAACCCGCCGTCCACTGAGACACACCCCATCACACACGATCCCTGTAATTTGTGTCAAGAGGTGGGTTCCCTCTCGTGAATCTCAGGAACATGCACCTTCAAGACTTTTGTGTGATAATTTTGTTTCGTGGCGAAATGCGCACGTGGTGGAATTTAGCAAACGGTGGGTTGGATGGAACGGTCAAGTGCAAGAGTGTAACCTCTATTTTTCCATTATTTTCCATGTCGTTATGAAGAGATGGTTGAAATTTTTGGCCCAGTCGACTAAGAGAGGCATTGCACTCAAACGAGAGGACTTTATTGTAAGATTTAAGATCAGAGTTTTAAACTGCGACTTCAGATAGTTCCTATATTTGAAACATTTCAGAAAAGTCTTACGTAGGTGCAGTTCAATACACAAAGAGGAAATCAATGAAGTTTCAATAAACATTTTAAAATTCAGGCTTTTCGGAAAACTTGCAGAAACCTATTTTCATAAAATTCATTGACTCTTCCTCTATGTCCACACGAAAAAAGAAATGGAACAAATGGTAGAATTATTTACTGAATTCCCGGCTGTTGGAGTAATAATGGTAATCATGCGTCCAGGGCACGTGACCAAATGAGTGGTTGGAACCACCAGATTCCTAGTATGGCCCCCAATTAGTCTGAAATATTCTGGAATATCTGTTAATTTTACGATTTTTACATTCATATGCATTTTCTAAAGACTTCATCACTGCACTGTTACAACAAAACCGAACCCAGTAAATATATGGGAACTGTATCAAATATTTTCTAAACCCTGGAGACAGTTTCACTCAATTGTGATGAAACAAAACACAGATTGGTATGAATACATATAAATACAGTGCTTGAATCTCAGAGAGTAATTTTAAGTAAAACGCTCTTTTTGCAAAGAATGGTTACATTGATGTTGTATTTGTTTGAAATGTATGAGAATTGAACCTCTCAAATAAAATTGCTGCTCTAAAATAGTCGTTCCTCTCACGGAAAAACGTAACTCCATTTCAATACTGCTAAATTTCTTCTTGCAAGTTGCATTTTTACCAGGAGAATCTTCGGCATTTCTGAGTGAAACGACGAAAAGAGGGATTTCTGGGTGCAAGGACCCACGACGGAGTAGATGAAAATACCAGCTCAAGTTCACTGACACGGAAGCGTTATACGAAATTAACCTTACAAATGGAGTTGATCCTCCTCCAGGCACAACCAGAGCCCACTTGAGCGTAAAAGGTTTTGTGCTGCGAGGTATGGCTAGAAACTGGTGAGTGTTGGGTTTGTGTGATTTTTATCCATCATTTAACACATTCGTTGGCACAATGGCGCATGTCAACAAGAGATTACGTAGGGCTGAATAGCTGATGAAGTCTAATTTTTATTGGATTGCATCTCGGTGGCAGCTTTGTGGGTGGGCCCATCCATCAACAGATACTCTCAGATCTCATTCGCATACTTTCTTTCTGCGTTGCAAACGAAGTGAGAGACGGAAGAAATTTGTGAGTAAAACCAGGAAAAAGAACGGGGACCGAGGATAGTTGGACGTATTTCTGCCGGACGGAACTATGTGCATTAAGACATGATTCCTGAGACCCATTAGAATATATGCCTAACAGAGCTCATGCCATAATGCACATAGTTCCGTTTGGCAGAAATACGTCCGATTAGATTATCATGTCATAATGTATTGCTGTAAAAACGATTAGTCCTTGCGCAGATTAATAAGAAAAGTAGCTTTAAAACTTGCCTAAGTTGAATGAATGTAGGTATTACTTATAAGTAACGAATATTAAATTTATTGTATATCTAATGGAAAAACTGATGTATAATGCAACATTAATTAAAAATGATTTGACAGTATCGCCATGAAAGATAAAGAATTGTTAATAGAGTTTCCATTTCTCATCTCCTTTCACCACTCATGAGAAATGTTTGTTAATTTTGTTCACCCATGAGCAGTTTCTTAAGTTGACGATATTTTTGGTACCTGGATCATTTTTAAGTGTGGTTATGGAGCACATTTTAGGATCTCGAATAGCTTAATCCTAAAATATTTAAATGTCCTTTATATCCTTGGAAACTAAAAAAAGAATCCTTGGAAAAGAGGCGTCAATTAAAAAAAATGCATACCTGTAAGCGAATACGAGTGTTGTGTAATTTCACTGATTAGCCCATATTGAAAATTATGGCATCACTGTGTTTTATTGGCAATTTAAGTATTACGCAAGTTTGATTGAGATTCGAAATTCCAAGCGCAAGCATTTCTTCTAATCTATGTAAAATAATGGTAAAATTTAGAGGGAAAACTAGATAATTATCAAATGATTGATCACCTCATTTTATCGGCAGCCTTTTATTCAATCTTTTCTTTCACTTAAACAGAGGCTATGTTGACCGTATTGAGAAATCAGGCGATGCAACTGTTTACGAGGATAATCGCTTTTACGTGCTCTCAATCTGAATAGAACAAAAGACAGGAGCGGTCCATGGAAATGAAGCGTTAACTGTCTATACATTCCTTTGCCTTTTTTCCTGACCTGGCGTTGAAGTCTCCAAAATCGGCCTCGAGAGCGTGGCGATTCATCGATCTATTGGGACCGTTTTCGTGCTGACACGCGTATTGTCTCATCGATAATACGTTTGATTGCCCGTTTGTTCCCCGTGGCATTGTTTTTGCCTAATTTATGATACCGTAAAGAGAACAACAGACCAACAACAACAAACTCAATTGTCCCCGTGAGATATTTCGAGCCAGATACTCCTACCGACAATTTTCCTCGGAAAAAGCGGGCGCGATTCTGTTGCATTAAAAGGTGGATGTCAGTAGCTGCTGCTCGTTTTGAAACGCTTGTAAAATGATGCGCTTCTCTCTCACTTGAAGGGATCTCTTTCTTAAGAAACTGGGATCGTTAAACCGTGTTCTCTCCTTTTCCTTTGAAGTCTACAGAAAGGAAAGAAAAAACAAACCGTCTAAAATAAAATTTTGGTGTTCTTTTTCATGAGGACGAGAGTGAATCCCATAATTTGAGATGGTCAGCAGTTGTCATGAAAATAATTTTTCCAACACTACTTACGTTTGTCAGGTCTTTAATCTATCCATATAGGTTGATACACAGCACTACGATCGAAATCTAACGCATTGCGATGAGAATCTGATGAATTTACCTGTCTTGAGAAAATCATCAATCCCTCCTTCTAAATTCCCAAAATATTACGAGGCCATATCACCGATGATATCATGGTGTTCCTGATGAGTATACGTCTTCCCCCGTACATCTCGATGGAGGTCGTTTGGAAAAGTTATGTACTTCCGCAACGGCTGCAAACGACTCTTAAGTCTTGCAACAATTGATTGCAAAACGTAAATAAACCCACGCATAAAACTGTCAATTCGGATTGCGTGAACAATGAGTATCCTCTTCATGAGGAGCGGCAGATTAAAGGTTGCAGGTCACATGTTTATGTTCTGTGGAGTTTGATTTATTATTCAACTTTCGGTTTTGCAAGCGCATTGCATATGTCACGTACAGGGCTGTAAGTGTAAGAGGGAAATTCTTAATGTTTGAAGACCTACTCATAGAACTTTGACATGACCAACACCTCTCATGCTGATTTTTTTTTTATAGAATATATGTGTAAAAATCCTATCCTTGCTAAGCCTTGTTGCTTTGGAAACTCGATCGTCAATATCGTAATTCCCATTCAATATGTAAGCTCGGATTGAGAATGAAATAAAATAAATATATATCCGCTTCTGCATCTTCCACGTGTAACCTTTTAACTATAGATTTAATAAAAATAGGACAAAATAGGATGAATGAGAAAAAAGTCAATTAATTTATGGTTTTTGGATGATATAAAGATTTTTTATGGTGAATATATGCCATTCATACATTAGAGACAAAACAGTCAAATGGAAAAATTTATGCAGTCAGTAACAGTTAGATGATACTGTAGGGATGATTTTCACTTCCATGTGTGGGCGGAAGATTTTGTATGATTCTGTTATGTGTGTCCAATAATTTAGTATAAATTATATCGTGAGAGGGGGCATTCATGGCGCGTCACATTGGTACGATTTTAAGGCTTCTACGTTGGCTGCATGTTAAACGGGTGTGAAATTTGTGCAGAATTTGTTTCATGATATTTCTCTCTCCCTTTTAAGTTAGAGAGAAAATTAGCCCTGTGATTTGTGAGCCTTCTTAGGGTGAATGATCACTTGTTATTACTCAAAATTTTTTTTATCTTCGGTGGCATTTACAGGGAGGCATTGTATGCACACATCATCTACGTATTGTCCGTTGAAAATATTTCTCTCTTAGGTAAGTAACCACTGACTCTATTGAAGAAAGTCTGCTATCAATGGCACCCCTGTATTGCGCGGGTGGTAAATTAGTGATACAACACAGCATTATGACGGTGACAAATCCTCCGAACTACGTAAAATTTCGCCCCTAAAAGTCTTCAACGTTCATTACCGAAAGATTCACACATTAGCGCATTCACACATTGGCGCCGAAGGCTATGGTTTGCGAACTTTGATGTAGTCTGGGGGTGGCGGGGAGGGGAGGGGGAGCTCGCGCAGTCCTCTGAATACACCACAATGGATGTCAATATTTACCGCTTCAGTGCATACCATGATAGCCAGAAAATCGAATGTTATGATTCAAACAGTGCTCACATTTCCCGAAATACCAAATTCCGGAACTTTTGAGCTTTTCCTGAATTTTTCCCGGAACTTTTGCATTTTCCGGAACTTTCTAGGAACTTCTGAAAAAATCCGAAAGGGATCCTGCGGATCTTTTGACGGTCATGGAATGGGAGCACTGGATTCAAAGTCGGCCAGTAAAAAATTTACTGGAATGACTCAAAATTTACTTTGCGTAATTCTCAAGTTTGCGTTTAAATGTATATAGGTAATATTACACGGGATCTTCGTCACAAATCAACGGGAAATAAAAAAAGAACTGAAAAATTTGGATATATTTAATTAATACTTAATATATTTTGATTACCGATTTTTTCATTTTATTCAACATCGGCGAGCCCCCCTTTCATTTATCCTTTCTTCCCACAAAACAATTCTTTCCTTATCACAAATTGATAAGGAACAATATCGATGTAATATTTAAAGACAAATGTATCTGCGAAAACCAACCTTGAAATTGATGATAGGTGGGGAAGTAAGTTGTCATGTTATAAGTTGAAACTGGCATTTACCGAACTTATCACTTGACCGGCGCCCAACAAGATATCAGTCCAAAACACACACTTACGCACTTTCTTAGTCACACGCGCGTTAAAGCACCTTCACCATCACACGCAAGTAATCCAAATCCGTGAACCGAGAGGCGAAAACCGCGAGAGAGAGGGGCGGGGGGGAAAATCAGAAAAATTGGTAGGAAACGCGATGCGTGTTGAAAAACTCGTGAGAACGCGTGCGTGGGACGGAGTCCAGAGGAAAGCACCTGTTCACAAACCGAGGGTGATAAAGAACTAAAGAAACTCGGATATGCGGATACGGGGTCCGAGCCCCAGCTCCGCCCCCTTGGTCCGCGGCTCGTGGGTCCACGCTGATTGGTCCGCAACACGGCGGGGCGGTCCGTCGTCTCATTGAGCAATTGGATGGCATCGCAGAGGAAGGGACCCCGGTTCGTGGGGTCTCCCAGTCAGTTCAACTCCCCTTGGAGATTCAATGTAAAGTTCCGCCGAAGAGCGAACCCCACGTACTTGGCTCACTCTTTGCGCCGTCCCGTTCAATTACTGTCTAATAAACGACAAACAGTATTCACCATCACGTGGCCGCGCGATGGATGCTCATTGTGGATGCGGGCTCTGTTTATTATGTTTATTGTCGGCTTGATTTTTTTATAGGCGCATAAATAAATAGTGAGCATGTCACGGGCCCCACTCACGCATGTGGGTATGTCGGCGTTTCATGTGGCCTTACCGCAGCTTTGCCGTAGGAAGGTAGAACGACGCATGAGCTTTCAGGCGTTGCCGTATTTCCTCCGATAAAAAACGAATTTACTGGGAAAAATCCGAATATTTTCCCTCCAATTTTTCAGACAAGTTGTTCACAACTTGATCTAAAATATCCGAAAAATTCGAGGAAGAATCTGCATACCTTTCAAAGAAAATAAGTACTTTGTCGGGGGTAATTTGGCAGCAGCAGAATGCTCGTACGACGTTCTTCCATGGTACGGCAGAGCTGAGAATCATTGAAAAGCCACGTAACTCATATGTACAGTTGTACTTCGACCAGTTGTTTTTCTGTCATCTCGGCGGTGCCGCGTTGCGTCGGCCCTCCTTCGGTACGTCGAAGCACTGAATCAACTTCTCAGTTATTTATTTGAGTATCACGCACGTAATCGGTCTTTTTGACCTTCCAGAGATCGACATGCGAACCTCACCCTAGGCCAAAATAAGTTCGTCTGCGCCGTCGGGCGCCGCGCCATTAATTAATTTATTTTGTAACCCCAACAGAGTTTGGAACGCCAGTTTGCCGTCCTTGTTTCTCCGACAAAATTGTTTCGAATGCTATGAAAATTTGCATTGAAATAATCACCTTGAATCGATTAAAAATTACGGCAAACGCGGCGAAAAACTCAATTGAATTGATTTAGGTATGTTTCTTTCTTAAGTTTTTTAACAATAGCAAGTAACAAAGAATTACGCACACAAAAAAATTCAGGCACCCACTGAGGCAAAAGGACCGTCGCCGTATTATCTAAAGGCATTTTGACCGCGACGTTTTGACGGGCTCTTAAAGGAGCTCTCTCACAAATTTTTCATAAAATAACGGAGAAAACCTTGAAATAAGCTGTAAGAAAATCAATTGTATTTGGAATTATTACTTTTTTTAAAGTGAAAGGCTTAGATACGTAAAACTGTGTTTGAACAACAGAAGACGCCAATATCGAGTGACAGATAAAAAAAAAAAATGGGTAAGAAGTACTTTCAGTCATAAGGACTAAGGAGCCATCTACAAATTGCGTCAGGTGTACTTAGTGGGATGGAGGGTTCAGTACTGCCCGAAAAGCCCCCTTGAAAGAAGGGCGGACTGAGAAGAGGGGACCTGATAGGCGGAGGGAGGGGTAGAAAAATCAGGAAAAGTGCGTCTGACGTCATTCATGGGCGGTCTCTGAGTGTTGTCAGCTTTCGAGCGGATGAGAGGACTTGTTCAGGGAGGAGAAGGATGTTGGTCGCCTGTGAATATTACACGCGCGGTTATCGGATTATTAATGATCGGAGGCTCATACACACCGTAGACGCGCATAAGGCGTGACATTGGATTCGACAATCCCGCCCGATGAATGGGAGGCAGATCGAGGTGGGGGCCCCCGGGCCCCGGGTCACTCAGATCACCGCTGTAAGCTGGGCCCTCGTAGGGGCAGTGAGTGACGGCGCCGTGGCTCCCAGCGGACCCTCAAAAATCTATCCATTACACTTTGCCCGTCGATTATGCTCGACGGATGGAAACACGCGCTGATCGCTATAGTCCACCGTCCGACTTATTCAGCAGTGATGCATCACCGCTCATGCCAGACTGTCTGTTAAATATTCTAATCCCTATGAGATCAAACTTAAGACGAGGATTTACGCGGAAAATTTTACCAAACAGCAAGAGTGTGTTAGTGGCGTAACTAAGAAGTCTTTAAGGGGGGAGGGGTGTCCGTGACGGTAAATTTACATTATTTTGTGTACGTCTAGATAAGATAATATTCTATGTCTGCCCTCCAAAAGTAAAAAAAAATTACAAATAACGCGGCAAAGGGGGGGGGGGTTCAGACCCCCTGGACACCCCCCCCCTTGTTTAGGCCATTGGAGTGGTGCCCTCCAAATCTGCCGTTAAAAAATGTGGGGATGCAAATCCAGGCTGCTGTGCTGCCGTGCTGAGGGAAAACGTCGTATGAGCCTTCAGCCGTCGGGAAATTTCCTTTGACAAATCACCGATTTTCAGGAAAATTTTTGAATATTTTTCCTCCAATTTTTCATATTATTATTTTGTAATTCGTTCTGGAGTGTCTGCAAATGTTAAGGAAAAATATTTATGACTGTCCTCAAAAATAAACAATTTCATCGGAGGAAAACTGGCAACTTTCGAATGCGTTCATACGGCGTTCTTCCTTAGCATATTGTGGAATTTCGAAGGTCACGAGGGGTGGTTTGGACTTTATTTGTTAAAAACTATTATTTCTTGTTCATCTATAAAATCACTGATCTGATGCCGCATGCTGCCTCTAAAATGAGCGGGAAGAAGTTGTTCCTTAATGTAAAATTTAATTCATTTATCAGATAGTGAAGACAACCCCTCTCATGGAAGGCATATATATCGACGGTGTAAATTGGCAATCACATAACTCGTTTGCGGTGTCTGAAAATCTCCTCCTCAACGTTAATTTTTTTAAAAAGGAACAAATTGACATTATTCCTTGAAGTTTTTGTAGAATTTTCTTCGCACAGAGAAGAAAAATCACGGCAGTTTTAAGAAATTGTCGTTGAGTCGTTTTCAGCTCAAATATTAAAATATGACAGGAAGTCTACGACGTCGCAAACCGAGTTATGTGATTGCCGACTTACACCGTCGATATAGAATCCAACTATGATCACCAAGGTAGACTTTCCGATAATTTTACAATCCAAAATCATACACGATCTTAATTTAAGAGGTCCTTATTATGAACGTTGTAGTTGAATTTGGGCATAAAGGGTGGCTTCGTTGCCTACACTCAAAGTTCCCGTTAACAAAAACAGCTGGGTTGCATATCTCTCTTGCTTGTAGGAGCTCCTTTGAATTTAATAATGAACCTGCAACCGTATTTTTTGAACTTGCAAACTTTTCCACTCAGAACAACGCAACCAAGACCATCCTAACTTTCTCCGATCGAAGGAATTCCCGACTTTCAAGCGAAGACCGCGAGCCATTTGTTCGGCAGCCACCAGGGAGCCGATGTTGGAACATGATGGATGGGTCACTCATCTTTTGTCACGTTCTCCCCGAAGACCTCAGAAATCCAACCGCAAGGCGCCCCCGTCTTCATCGCTCGAAAAGTCAAATCAAAAATCGCTCCGTCAACCTCGAGTGCCACTTCAGCAGCATGATTACCCGAACAACAACAACAAATATTCGAGGTAATCCTGACAAGAGCTTCTTTCGCCGCGTTGCTATTATATTTCCTCCAAAAGGCTGATCTTCGCAATCGCTACATTCTTTCGCAAATGCATTCAGCCTCACAAGAGGAAGCCTCAGCAGCTTGTATCTTTTCATTTGACCCGTTCGATTATCACCGAGATCTGTAGCGGCCGAGTGACAAATACCTTCAGAAATGGCAGACGTTGCAGCTGAAGAAAAAAACAAAAAAAAATAATAGGAAATTTGATATCCTAAGTAATTGGGTATCTGCTATTTGGACAAAAATGAACCATGCACGAGTACATCGAGAGAGAATGTTCAACCATAAGAACATTGCAGTGCGATACTTCATATCGGCCGAACTATTCGATCCATATAACCGTTCTTTTGATTATTGTAACCTGATAGGAAACGCTGGCGCCGGTTTGTGGCATAAATCAGTGTTTAATTTGGATGAATGTAGCCTCTCAAATTAAACTTGATTTAGAAATAACGTTTTAAAGGGAATCAATCACACGATTACTGGCCGAGTTCAATCGACGATGAAACAGAGATTTCATTAATACTTTTAGCCCGTTCCAGATGTTCTAACTGATTGTGAGGGTTCAGTCCGGGAGCATCGGTGCGGGTGCTGACCGTTGAACTTCGAGGGTCCGCGAGCCGATGACCTTTGAACCAAAACTCCGAAAACAACAATCACCAAAACTTTTAATTTGAAATGTTTGGGCACTTCATCAGGTTGCGTGGTGGCAGGTTACTCAATTTATTTTTAGTATCATCCAGACCAAGAAAAATGTGTGCCAATTACCAAAACATTCGACCTTCCCCCGTGTCATTTCATTTATGTGAAAATTGTGCCGTTTCATACTGTTTTTGTGAATGTTCAACAGTCAACACCCACAGCGATGCCCCCAGACTGAACTTCCAGTTTGAGCGTCTGGAACGGACTTTTACCTTTCTTACCGATTTTCTCAGAGACATATAAGAAAATACCGAACTGTTTACAAGCCGGCCAGGTTGGCCTAGTGGTAAGCGCGTCTGACTCTAGGTCAATAGGTCCCGGGTTCGAATCCCGGTGGTGGCGTCCCGGTGCTGAAATAGATTCTCCTCGGCCCTAATCCCTGAAAATTGGTAAAGCCTGGAGCATGGAGATCCCACGATGTCTACCGACACTAAACATTGTCTAAAGTTGGCTGAAAGGTGCTTGACACAAAGCCATTAAACTAGCAGGAAAAAAAAAAGAAAAAAAAAAAAAAACTGTTAACAAACCTTAATAGTTTACTCGGGTCCTGTAGACCCTCGTCCAATAGCGCCTGGTTAAACGGATAGTCAGAAAATCAGA